ACCCCAACTGGGACTAGAACCCGGTGTGCCGGCGCTGCAAGGCGGAGGATTAGCCTAGTGAGCCGCAGCGCCGGCCATAAATAAATAGTTTTTTAAAAAAGCGGAGGAAGAGAAGGGGAAAAAAGTGTTCACTGATGTATTATATTTTTACTATATAAAATATACAAATATATACGTATATTAATATAATCAGCCATAGTCACTTGGCATCACTATGCCAAAGTCTAAAACAGAGACCAGTATGAGCTTCCTGCAATCGGGCAGTCGTAAGCACAAACTGAGTGCAGAAAAAGCTTAAAATGGTGTTTCCACAAAGCAAACAAAGACGAACAATAAGAAATGTATTTCAAGCACTCCACCAGTTTTAGAGTCTTCCTGCCTCTGGGAAGCGCAAGGGAGAAAAGACCATGCTTCTTGATCCCGCTGTCAAGAAAATTAAATCTGGGTGAAATTGCTTTTGAAAAGTGCCTGTTACTCCTCACCCCTTGCACGCAAAGGAGCTTCACTCTCGCCGAAAGCCAAGGAGGAATGGAAACTACCAAATGCTGGACAAATCCGAGGGCTGTCCCTCTGCATGTCCGCGTGGGGCCTGGGTGAGCTGACGGGTGGGAAGGCTGCAGTGTTGTACGTGAGATGGCCGCGGCTGGCCTGGCAGAAAAGCTGTGTGTGACTCACCAGGCAGGAAGAGGAAGCAAAACCAGCCCTCACCAACTTTATCAAGATGATGTGGATGCAATCGCCTCCAGTTTATGGCTGATGCAAGGCATGCTTGCTGTTTGTGAATACCAGGGGATTTGTGGATAGTAATTCACCACAGGGCGATGGCCTCGCCAATGGCTTCAGAGAGATGATAAGGAAGCTTCTGGCTGATGATGGAACCACACAGACAGTGCATTCCGAAGCGTGCAATTAGGGCATTTTCCTCCCCAGCGCCTGCAGAATCCACCGATGGCCACGTGGGAGTAATGTGGGGGTGAGTCATCGGCAGCTAGCCACCCAACGCATTTCCATGAACAAACTCAAATTATAAAACCGTGGTCCGTGCAAAAAAAAAAAAAAAAATCCTGACAATAGATTCAGCTAAGCCAGTGCGGTTTCCAGTTCCGGAATTGACAAGCCAGGAATTTGGACCTCACATTTGTCCCTCTGTCAAGTGAGTGGATTCCCAACCTATCACAAAAGTCCAGTTAACTCGGAAGATAGCTGCAGTTGGGGCTGGTGTTGTGGTACAGCACGGAAAGCCTCCTCCTGCAACACCTGCATCCTATTCAGTGCCCATTTGTGTCTGGTTGGTCCACTTCCAATCCACCTCCCTACTAGTGTGCCTGGGAAAGCAGCAGAAGATGGCCCAAGTGCTTGGGCCCCTGCCACCCATGTGGGAGACCTGGAAGAAGCTCCTGGCTTTGGCCCAGATCTGCCCTGGCCGTTGTAGCCATTTGGGGAATGACCAAGCAAATGAAAGATTTCTCTCTCTCTCTCTCTCTCTCTCTCTCTGCCTTTCAAATAAATAAATGAATCTTTAAAAAAAATATTGTATCTGCAGTTAAGTGCTCATGGCACCCAGCCACTCTGTGTAACCACAAGGCACACAGCTCTTCAGCTTCTTATAGGATTCCCTTGTCCCCTGTCCCAGAAGCAGGTACCCCTCACTTTAGGACAGGGTGGAGAGCTGATCAGGGGCTCCCCAGGAGGGATGGACAAGGAGCAGGCCACAGGGCATCAGTACAGGGGCAGGCCTACATCCGTGAGTCTCTAAATCCTTCTGTTTACCTTGAATTTGTCCCCTTCTCTCTACCCTACTGCCACCACCAGGCTTCCACCATCTGTGGTCTAGAATATGGCAAACAGCCTCTCAACTAGTGGCCTATGGCTGCTGGAACAAATTTAACTGCTTAAAAAAAATTCCACAGGTGTGGCATTTAGCCTAGCGGTTAAGACACCAGCCTGCTGCATTAGAGAGCGAGGTTCTGACTCCGGACTCCAGCTTCCTGCTGTTGCAGACCCTGCGGGGCAGTGGTGATGGCTCACGTGCCTGAGCCCCTGCCACCCATGTGGGAGACTTGGCTTGAGTTCCTGCCTGCTGCCTTGACCCAGGCCCAGCTGTTCCAGGCATCTGGGAAGTGAAAAGCAGATGGGAGCTCCCTCTGTCTATGCATCTCTGTTTCTCCCTGTCCTTCTGTCACTCAAATAAATAAATAAAATATATCTTGACTGACAGCAGTGCCTCATCTTCCCAAAGTCCCCTGAAAAACCCTTCTCCATCCCTCCTGATCCTTGCATTGCTGGAAACATATCAGTATTTTTTAAAAGATTTTTATTTATTTGAAAGACAGACTTAGAGAGAGAGAGAAGGAGAGGCAGAGAGAGAGATCTTCTCACCACTGTTTCACTCCACAGATGGCCACAACAGCTGGGCTGGGCCAGGTCAAAGCCAGGAGCTTGTTCCAGGTCTCCCACATGGATAGCAGGGACAAACACTTGGGCTGTCTTCCGCTGCTTTCCCAGGAGAATTAGCAGGGAGTTGGATTGGAACTGGAGCAGCTGGGACTCAAACTGGAGCCCATGTGGGAGGCCGGCGCCGTAGGCAGCAGCTTAACCTGCTACGCCACAGCACTGGCCCCAGGACCCTATTTTCTGAGCTTCTAAAGGAAACGCTGAAGCCAATATGGACAGTACGTTTAGCACACTGACCTCTGCAGGTCCTGCATCCACAGAGTCAAACAACAGCAGATCAGAAATATTCAAGGGAGGAGCTGGCATTAGGTGCAGTGGGCTAAGATATTGCCTACAACGCTGGCATCCTGTATGAGCACTGGTTCAAGTACTGGCTGCTCCACTTCTGATCTAACTTCTTGCTAATGTGCCTGGGGAGCCAGTAGAAGATGTCCCAAGTGCCTGGGTCCCTGCATCCATGTGGGAGACCCAGATGGAGCTTGCTTGGGCCTGGCCCAGCCCCAACTGCCCCAGCCACGTGGGAAGTGAACCAGCCGATGGAAGATCTCTGTTTCTGTCTCTGTCTCTGTCTCTCTCTGTAACTTTGCCTTAAAAAAAAAAAAGATTTATTTATTTGTTGAAAGGTAGAGTTACAGAGGGGGATAGAAGAAGAGATAGAGAGATCGTCCAGCCACTGGTTCATTTCCCAAATGGCCACAACGGCCAGGGCTGGGCCAGACCAAAGCCAGGAGCCAGTAGCTTCTTCCGGATCTCCCACGTGGGTGCAGGGGCCCAAGGACTTGGGACATCATCTGCTGGCTTCCCAGGCGCATTAGCAGGGAGCTGGATAGGAAGTGGAGCAGCCGGGACATGAACCAGTGCCCATATGGGCCGTTATGCTACAGCACCAGCCTTATAACTCTGTCCTTCAAATTAAAAAAAAATCTTAAAAAATAGATACTCAGGGGAAAAAATTGTACCTGTACTGAACATGTGTAGACTTTTTTTCTCATCATTTTTCCCTAAACAGTACAATGCAACAACTGTTTACTTGGCATTTTCATTGTATTAGATATTGTAAATAATCTAGAGATTTTTAAATTTTTACTAATTTATTTGCATTCTAGTTAAAAGACAGAGACCGGGCCGGCGCCGCGGCTCACTAGGCTAATCCTCCGCCTAGCGGCGCCGGCACACCGGGTTCTAGTCCCAGTCGGGGCACCGGATTCTGTCCCGGTTGCCCCTCTTCCAGGCCAGCTCTCTGCTGTGGCCAGGGAGTGCAGTGGAGGATGGCCCAGGTGCTTGGGCCCTGCACCCCATGGGAGACCAGGAAAAGCACCTGGCTCCTGGCTTCGGATCAGCGCGGTGCGCCAGCCGCGGCGCGCCGGCCGCGGCGGCCATTGGAGGGTGAACCAACAGCAAAGGAAGACCTTTCTCTCTGTCTCTCTCTCTCACTGTCCACTGTGCCTGTCAAAAAAAAAAAAAGACAGAGACCGAGAGAAATCTCCCAAATGCTAATTCAATCTTCAAATGCCCACAACAGCCAAGGCTGAGTCAGGGCTTGGCTGAACCAAAGCTGGGAGCCCAGAATTCCAACTGAGTCTCTCACATGGGTGGCAGAGTCTCAAATACTTGAGCCATCACCTGCTGCCTCCCACGGCACATTAGCAGGAAGCTGGATCAAAAGTGGAGTAGCCAGGAATTGAACCAGGCATTCTGATATGGGCTGCAGGCATCCCACGTGGTGACTTCAGCTGCTGTGCCAAGCACCCACCCTAGAGATGACTTAAAGCACACGAGAGGAGGTGTACAGACCCCATTTCAAAGGGGACTTGACCATCTGAGGGTTTTGGTGTCGGAGGGGGTCCTGGAACCAATTCACCATGGATACTGAGGACAATTGGATGGGATAAGACCCAAAACCCTTTTTATTCCATGTCTCTACAGCCAGGCAGGGCCGTGTTGATAATCAAGTGGTCCTACAGTTCCCTCTGCCCACCACCCACACAGTACTCTCTGTGCAACACATTTGCAAAATTCATGCACTCAGGCAGGACATTCTAACCAAAATTTCAAAAAGTTTGAAATTTGTCCTGTCCTGTTGTTCTTTCTTGTTCTTCAGAATGAAGATGAAATCAGTTTATGAAAGCAGATCATCCTAGATCACAAATCCATCTGAACTGCATTTACTTCATGCTTGACAAACTTCAAAGCCTGATTATTTTGCAATTATATGAATGCTGTTCAATGTTAAATATTAACCAGCTAGCAATCAAAAAAAAAGTGATCTGTTAATGTCTACCACTGCAGAACAGGAATTTCAGACTGCACCCCAGTGATGGGAAACTGAAAAACCATGTGCCTGAAGAAGTATATTGATGCTAAAAATGAGATTGTATGCATTTAGACTAGTCAAAATGAAAAAGAGGAACAAGGGAGAGCGGGAAGGAGGAGGAGGAGAAGGAGAGAACATGCTATGGTTCTCTCAGCTCCCCAGGCATCTGGAGGCAGCAGATGTGTTGCACTGCTGTGAAAGTTGAAAAATAAGTAACGAGAAAGCCACTCACCTGTTGCCAATTCTGCCCGGGAGGGGTCGAACATTGTAGCACAGCGGGTAAAGCTGCTGCCTGCTACGCTGGCGTCCCACATGGGCATCAGCTTGCGTCACAGCTGCTCCACTTCCAATCCAGTTCCCTGTGAATGGCCCGGGTAAAGCGAGTGCCACCTATGTGGGAGACCTAGAAGAAGCTCCTGGCCCCTGGCTTCAGCCTGGCCCAGCCCTGGCCACTGCAGCCATCTAGGGAGTGAAGCAGAGGATGGAAGATCTGTCTCTCCCTCTCTGTAGTGCTGGCTTTCAAATAATAATAATAATTAAAAAAAAAAAAGAGCTCTCCAGGGAAAGGAAAAGAGTGACACACAGGACTAACCCAGAAGAGATGCTTGACAGATGTTTATTGAGCGAAGGAGAGAAAGCAACCTGAGCCCCGTAGCTGCCCAAGCCCACACCCCTGCCCCTGCCCCTGCCCCTGCCCCCTGGGTAGGACGAAATGTTCTCAGTGCAGTATGATGCACAGCAGCCCTCCATCCAGAGACAGCCAGGCTGTGAGCGTGCGGGCTCCAGAAGCCGCCTTGTGGAAGGTATTCCTCTTACTGCAGGTGTTTGTTTCCTTTGGCACGGCAACATGCAATTTCCCATTTTTAGAACAATGCTCCAAAGAACAGTCACAAAAACAACTTTCAGAGGGGGCGGTTTTCTTCCTGGCCACTGCTGCAGCCCTGTGAAACAACAACAAAGGGATTTTTACTCAAAACACCATTTGCATCTCCCTGTAAAATCAGGAGGCTGATTGTTGACTCCCCCACCCCGGGGTGCAGCATCTGCACAGACTCTGGGCTGTGGGAGAAGGCCTTGGGCCGGCGTGTGCTGTGAGTCTGTTCCGCTCCCGACACGCCCTCTCTGCGGTTCTTGGGCAGCAGGGGTGGAAGGGAAGTTTGTGGAAAGTCAGTGTCTGTCCTTTGGGTGCCCCACACACGTCAGAGAGCAGAGAAGACAGTGTGTTCTTGAGAGCCTCCAAATAGCCCACGCAAGTGAGGACCCAGGAAGAGAGGTGCCACCCCTTTCCTCCTCCTGCTTCCGAAACCCAAGCATCGGGCTTCAGGGCTCCTTCACCTCCTCTCCCCATCTCCCCCCAACCCCCGTCTCCCATCACCTTCCTGCATCTTCCTCTGGATCCTACCATCTCAGCCCTGAGAGCCACGCCCAATCCACCTGCACCTGAACTTACTTGCACACTGCTCTCTTCACAGACCTCCTGGCCCGGGTCTCACACCTCTCATGTGGGCCTGCCCAGTCCGGGCTGCACCCTCCACCTCCTGTGCTCACAACATTCACCTACTCCTTTTCTTATAGGAAAAGTCCAGCTTTCTTAGTGGGACCGCGTCTGGGGCCAGCCTTCCTCTCCAACTTTGTCTTCCACTAGTTCTTACCTCAGCCTCCACCAAAATCCACCTTTGTTAAGACCCACTTCCTCCCTGGGGGCCTGCATTGTGCCCCAGCAGGTTAAGCAACTACTTGCAACACTGGCACCCAATATGAGCACCAGCTCAAATCCCAGCTGCTCTGCTTTCCATCCAGCTCCCTGCTAATGTGCCTGAGAAAGCAGAGGAAAATGGCCAAAGTATTTGCGCCCCTGCCACCCACGTGGGAGACCTGGATGGAGTTCCAGTGGATGGAAGACACCTCTGGATGGAAGACCTCTCTCTCTCCTCTCTGTCATTCTGCCTTTCAAATAAATAAATATTTAAAAGTAAAGAAAAGGAGCAGAGCTGGAACTCCAACCTGGCTTACAATATCCAGACCTACAACCACGCACTTCCATTCTTAGAGACCTTCAAACAGAACAGGGTGAATAGGAAGTCATGGGTCCTTCTCCCAGTTGGAACAGGTTGATGGAAAGGGTGCATAAAAGGACTGGGCTCCCCAGGTGTGATTTTTTCGAGAGGGTGGAGGGATTTGTATCAGGACACGGGGTGAAGGCCTCTGAGCACTGTGTCTCCAGGGTGGGTAGCAGGAAGTTTTGAGACCGCACAGAATCACCCTTCTGCCCCCAAGCCGAGTGGCCTCAGTGCCACTGTCTCTTGCCCGTTTTTCATCGGATCCTGTTCTCTTCCTCTTATTGATCTGTTGGTTCTTCATGAAGTCTGGAAATGAACACTGTATCAGATATCTATCTTCTCCCAGTCTGTAACTTGCCTCTTAATTTTTTTTTGATCAGTGCCTTCAGATCACAAAAGGCTTTTCATTTTCCTAAAGTCCAGTTTCTTCACTTTTCTTCTGTGGCTGGGACTTCTGTGTGTTCTGCTGTGGACGTCCCTGCCCCTCCCTAAAACCATGAAGACCTCCTTTCTGTCTGCTTCCTTTAATCATGCTTTATGTGGGCTCTGCCTCCAGCACTGGAGACAACGGATCTGTTGCTGTTTTGTAAGGAGCAAAGGTCTCGCAGAAAAACTAATCATGCTGGCTCACATGATAACACTCATGATAAGGGTAAGGACCGCCTCTGTCGCCGGCCCGTCCAGCCCGTGATCCAGGGCTGTTGTCAGGCAACGGGGCACCACTGCTGACTGCATTGCAGAAATTCCGTAGGAGGGTCCCCATCAGGTGGTGGCATCTCCAAAGTGAACCAGGAAGGAGATGGGAAGACACCAACCCTCTCAACACTGGTGTCAGCTGAGGCCAGCAGCTTCAACTCCATCCACCCACTTGACACATTTCCTTCCTTCCCTGACAAGCTTTGCTTGCTTGCTTTCTTTTCTTTTTCTTTTTCTTTTTCATTTTTTCTTTTTCTTTTTCCTTTCCTTTTCTTTTTTCTTTTTTTTTTCTTTTTTGCCATTTGATTGCACTCTTTTTTTTTTTTTTTTAAGCTGTCACATTGTTTTTCTTGTTGGGATTCTCTGTGACTTCGTTTACTTCTGTATAATTGCCATGGTTTTATCCATTCAGTAAATGAAGTATATAGAAAACACGAGATCTCTTTTCGGGGGCCAGCATTGTGGCAAAGCAGGTTAAGCTGCTGCCTGCAATGCCAGCATCCCATATGAGCACTGGTTCAAGTCCCGGCTGCTCCACTTGGAGTCCATCTCCCTGCTAATGTGCCTGGGAAAACAGAGGAAGATGGTCCAAGTCCTTGGGACCCTTCCACCCACATGTAAGACCCAGATGGAGTTCCTGGCTCCTGGCTTCTGCCTGACCTAGCCCCAATGTTGCAATCATCTGGGGAGAGAACCAATGAATGGAAGACCTCTCTCTCTCTCTCTCTCTCTCTGACTGTGCCTTTCAAATAAATAAATCTTTAAATAAAAATTAATCTCCTTTGCAAAGCAGGTGGAGTTTACCAGTGACAACAAGTACAACTGAGGCCGAGGGAGTGGAGGGGATGGCACTTGGGCCCGAGGGCCCTAAACCCAGAACTCCACCTGCCTCTGGAATTCCAGTGACCACATTCCAGTTACAACTCGCGTGGGGTCGAGTAGCCCTCTCATTTCCCAGTGCAGAGAGGAAAACAGATGTCCTGCCCCTGGCTGGGGCCTGGCCTGCCCATGCCTCCCGGCCAGCTTGCAGAAGGTCTTGACCTTTGATCCTGCACCATGGGAGGTCATTGCTGGCAGACTTCCATCACTTCAAACCTGTTTCCCCCTCCTTGGAGGTTTTTTCCTATTCTTTTTTTATTTTTAAAGATTTATCTAGTTATTTGAAAGGCAGAGTTACAGAGAGGCAGAGGCAGAGAGAGAGAGAGAGAGAGAGAGAGAGAGAGGTCTTCCATCCACTGGTTCACTCCCTAGATGACCGCAAGGGCTGGAGCTGCGCCGATCCGAAACCAGGAGCCAGGAGCTTCTTCCAGTCTCCCTCACGGGTGCAGGGGCCCAAGGACCTGGGCCATCTTCTACTGCTTTCCTAGGCCACAGCAGAGAACTGGATTGGAAGTGGAGCAGCCAGGAACTGAACCGGTGCCCAAATGGGATGCTGGCACTGCAGGCAGCGGTTTTACCCACCCTACAATGCCAGTCCCCTATTCTCCTTTTAAAAACCTCTTTTCCTATGCATTTTATTTTCTCTCTAAATTTTTCCTTTCATTGCCACCCATCTAACCATTTGTTATTTCTAGGGCATTTTTATGCCTTTGCCTTTTAACTCTTGTTCCCCACCTCCTCTGTCTCCCCTCCCCTAAAACAGGGATTCTCGGCCGGCGCCGTGGCTCACTAGGCTAATCCTCCGCCTAGCGGCGCTGGCACACCGGGTTCTAGTCCCAGTCGGGGCACCGGATTCTGTCCCGGTTGCCCCTCTTCCAGGCCAGCTCTCTGCTGTGGCCAGGGAGTGCAGTGGAGGATGGCCCAGGTGCTTGGGCCCTGCACCTGGCTCCTGGCTCCTGCCATCGGATCAGCGCAGTGCGCCGGCCGCAGCGCGCCGGCCGCGGCTGCCATTGGAGGGTGAACCAACGAATGGAAGACCTTTCTCTCTGTCTCTCTCTCTCACTGTCCACTCTGCCTGTCAAAAAAAAAAAAAAAAAAAAAAAAAAAAAAACAGGGATTCTCGGCCTCAGCACTGGTGCCATTCTGACTGTCCTGTTCCTGGTGGGGCCAGGGGCTGCCCTGGGCGTGCAGAACGCACGGCCTCCCCCCTCTCTCCTCCTTCCTCCCTCTCTCCCACTGTCAATCAAGAGGCTGGAGGGAAAAGTGAGGAGGTAGCTGGGAGACAGAATCACAGCTTTCTCCAGCTGAAAGGGGCCTTGGATACGATCTGATGCAACCCCTTCGTTTTGCAGATGAGGAGACAGATCCTGAGAGGGGGAGGGAGAGGATGCGTCAAGGCCGAAAATGTGGGGGATCGATTGCCAGGCCAAACAGGAAGTCAGAATTCCAGCGCCTGAGGCAGAATTTCCAGCCCCACAAGGGGAACCTGGGCCTGCTTCCCACAGCCCCTTTCTCCCTGCAAGTCATGAGTCCCACTCCAGGAACAGCCCGTGGCCGTCCAGGGCGAGTGGCAGGCCCAGAACTGACAACCACCCAGTGGACAAAGAAGGCCGCGGATTACAACGGGGAGATCTCACGACAACTGAAGTCAAGACCACATCTTAGCTGAATCCTATAATCATGAGGGAAAGGACAGTCAGGCCACCTGGCCGCACCTGTCCCCGTGGAGACAGCAGCAGACACGCAGAGGCAGGGGGGTAGCCCGGGACAATATCCGTCCTGTGTTTGTCTCCTTGAAGGCAGTTGGCAGCAAGACCCTCAGCCAGAACCTCCTACTGCTAAAGTTTCATGTGCTGACCGCAAGGTCCCCACGGCAATGGCATGGAAAGGCAGGAGGTGACTGACCAGGGGGCTTCACCCTCACCCCTGGATCAATGTCTTTCTTTTTTTTTTTTTTTTAAGATTTCATTTATTTATTTGAGAGGTAGAGTTACAGGCAGAGAGAAGGGGAGAGAGAGAGAGAGAGAGAGAGAGAGAGAGAGAGAGAAGAGCATGCCTATCCGCTGGGTCACTCCCCAGATGGTGGCAACAGCGGGAGCTATGCCTATCTGAAGCAAGGAGCCAGGAGCTCTGTCCGGGTCTCCCATGCGGTGCAGGGGTCCAAGCACTTGGGCCACCTTCCACTGCTTTCCCAAGCCATTAGCAGAGAGCTGGACCAGAAGAGGAGTAGCTGAGACTGCCCATAGGGGATGCTGGAGCCCCAGGAAGCTCAGCCTACTATACCATTGAGCCGGTCCCAAGGATCA